TTTTGGTATCTCTGAACCACTTTTATACATATACAGTAGAACCCCGCTAACTCGAACTCCCAAGGGGAACGAAAAATTGTTCGAGTTAGCGGGGGTTCGAATTAACTGGGCTTGGTGTCAGATTTCGTTTATTATGTTAATAATTAATAAGGTATAAAAGTTGTATTATACTGTTCATCAAAATTACAAAAGGTTTAATTGTGCATTCCTATAACTAAAGTTCTTTATAGTCAGTATCTTTTTAACTTGGGTGATGGAGAAGGCATGCAATTTCCATGCAAACTAAAGTTCTTTGGACATGAAAAATATGTAGAAATTTACAAAAGGAACTAAAAAAATTAGATCAATAAGGGGCCGATTACATGGAGCATTTTCAACCCCGGGGTTGAACTCAGCCCTGTTTACCGGGTTGAAATTTCAGTCCTGTCTGTAATACAAAACTCTATCAAAATCAAACGCGCGATTACATGACAAATTTTTCAACCAGGGCTGGGTTCAACCCCGGGGTTGAAAGTTCTCCATGTAATCGGCCCCTAACAATCGTCGCAACTATGTGTATAATCTCTTAAAATTTATTTATTTTTTATACACCGATTTACGATTAAATTGTTATTTGAATAAAAATCCAAGTTACCGGTTGTCAAAATGCTATGTTCTGACATTTTAAGCTTTGCCGGTCCACGACTCGAAAACAAAGTTGGAGTTGGATAAATTTGACCAAGGGAAAACAAAATTTGTTCGAATTAGCGAGGAGTTCGAGTTAAGCGAGTTCGAGTTAAGCGGAATAAATTACTATAAAAAACAGTGTCAGATCCAAGGGGAATTGGATGTAGTTCGAGTTAGCGAGGAGTTCGAGTTAAGCGAGTTCGAGTTAGCGGGGGACTACTGTATTATACATATTATTCACAGACCTGCCAACCTCCAACAGCAACGAATCTGGAGATCTGATAGAAAATTTCTTGAGATTGATCTCTTATTTCTGGAGATAAAATACTGAAAATCTAGGATAAGACAATTACTGTAATCATTGCCTGTAGATGACTGATCTATGTTCTGTGACATAGCAATTTTTAATTTCTGTCCTCCAAAATAAAACTTTAACTCAACAGTTTACTTACAAATTCAACCTGGGTCTGGTTGTATCAAGCCCGTTTAGCTTAAACAGTGGTCAAACTCAAAATAGAAAGCAAGTCTATAGATTCATTCAACAACTAAACTAAAAGTTTTGAACTTTAATAGAACGATAATGTTTACAACTACATATTCAGTGCATAATATTTAAGTTGACTGATTCACGAGAGAGAAAAGAGTGTTTTTTATTTTGACTTATCCACTGTTTAAGCTAAACGGGCTTGATACAACCGGCCCCTGGTCTTAGTCTATACGAGTGTATCTTACTAATTTGGGATACTATTCCAATTTTTATCCCACACACCACTGTTGAGGAAGGGGATGATTTTCAACCACTGGGGGGGG